TGACACATTGCCATGAATACACTTGATAACTGCTTGCAGACTTCCAATGGACATTGTTTATGTTTGGACAGTTGAAACAATAAGCAAAATAAAGGGTTGGGCAACTACTCTTTTGTTTAGGCTTGGGAAGAACAATGCAAGCTTTTTACAAATAATTTCAGCTGGATGTACGTTGGTGGGCGGGTGTTGAGAGTTACTGGGCGGCCGTAAAACTTGATGGGCGGGCCGCCCGCCTAAAACCCCTTGTGGAGAACACTGTCACCCATTTGTCAATTTCACCAACTTTAGAAACATGTGCTTGTGCTCAAAGTCAGTTTGGGATTTTTGCAAGATTTGCTTCAGTATCAAAAACGTAGACGAGATTTATGTTTAGTTTGACTGTCATAAATTTGAATTAATGCATGTGGGGGCCGTGCTAATAGCATCAGTAATATTCAATGTCATGAAATCAACGACAGCTGAATGTGAAAATGTCAGTTTGTTTTTTCAAACACACATGGGTTCTTCTACGCACCTTTTTGTCATATTAATTAATTTGGAATCCATCTATCTTTCTGTTTGTGTGTTCAGAACCGTTTCTCAGACATTCAAACTTAACACGCAGGCTATGCATGATGATTCACATAATATGCACATCAATTTTTATTCAATACTGTAAAATACTTTATTTTCGCTTGGAATTAATTTTCGTTTTTGTCGCTGAAGGGATGACTCAGTGAAAATAAAAACTTTTTTCTTATATTTCACATTCAACTCATCAAAAATCAATGAAAATAAATTCCATACAAAACACCCAAAAGGCCTTTTCAGCGAAAATGAATTCCAGCTAATAAAAATAAAAGTATTTTACAGTACCATTTGATCAAGTATGGCTGACTGATGGCCATTTTGGATATCAAAGTTGCTAAATTCTGAAATTTTAACATGTAGGGCACTTCTTCTCGGTGATGAACAGGACTATTTCATTCAAATTTTGTAAGCTGACCTTGCATATTGGGTTATAGATGTAAATCATAGATTCAAACACAACTGGTTGACTGGAGTGTACTCAAAGGTGAAAGAATTATAAATATTACTGATCTCATTAATTTGGTGTACATGAACTATAATGTGAACTAATCAATTATATGCCAATCTGGGAGCAATCAACTACCAATCAGAGGTCGAGCCGAGTCAAACATGAACTTCTCTTGTTTTTCTTCTTATTCCTTACATTGTTGTGTTGTGCCATTTATTTTTTTGTCCTCACCTATGCATTTCTACTGTTTGTTAGGTGAACGAATCATTTTGATTTCCAACTGCATTATGGGAAATCAGGATGGTTGGATGAGCGTGACCCAAATAACGAGCGCGGCCTTGCTATTTACTCCAATGAGTATGCAGACAGTAACTAGTCAAAGCTCAAATCACTCACCTGAAGAGTGCATTTATTAAATGTAACAGCTCTTGTCCATCTCGTTTTGCATAATACTTTCACTGGTATTTTTTCATATTATTTTATTTACAGAACAAAATCTGACCGTGAGTTACTCTCAGAGCCGTTCGATGATGGAATGGATTGGCAAAAAATATCATGTGTTGATGTGAGTGTTCAGAGGGTTTCAGGATTTTCACACAGAATTTTGCGTCTTGTGAAAGAACGATTTCCTGTGCACTGTTTGAGGTTAAAAGTACACGTTTCTAATACAGCTGCAATAACAGTTGCGTATATTAGACGTACAATTTGTGCAATATAAGGAAATGCATTACTGATGCATTATACACCTGTAATGATCGATTTTTGTTTGGAAATGGTCCAGTCATGTTAGAAAAATGGAAAAAGCGCTAAATTAAAACCCAGCAAATGTGTAAAATTTAGCATAGAACACATTATCTAAATGATAAAACCGTCAATTTAAAACCCACTGAATATGCTTGAAATGATAAATCAGCGAAATTTAAACCCAGTGAAAATTAGACATTTTACAGTATATAGTTCGCTGAATGATATTATTAAAAAACGTTGTTTCATTTGTTTCCCAGTTTGATGGTGACAGAACTGCTATGCAGTGTATGCTTGCTTGGAAACACATGTTCCATCCATCAATCAACAACAGCAAGGCATGGACTAACAAAGAGGATGAGCAGTTATTAGAAATAATAGAACAGCATGATGCTAAAGACTGGGATGCCATAGCCGAAGAACTTGACGTATGTTTGCTTTTCACTCATTCGGTTGATCTATCGGTGTTATCTCATCCTGTTTTATAATTGCAAAAATATATGTAGCAAGACAAGTAATTATAGGGGTGGTGGTAGCACTGCTGATAAAGCAGCTGATCAATAAATGAGTTTTGAGTTAAAAGAAGAAGGGGGGGTTGTAGCTAGCCCAATTTGCTCACTGGTTTCCCTGCTTCCCTGTCTCCCCCCCCCCTCCTCCTCCAAGAAACATTTTTACACAAGATCACATTTCTAAGGTAACGACAAAACTCGAAACTTGTCTACTGAGTCTGTGATCTTTTTCACATGTATATGTGTATAGTGGTACATGCAGTATATGTATACCCTCTTATGCAGGGTTTCATTCTGTGTCTATATTGCCCTACGTGATGGGCCATATTCTGCCAGGTGGTTGAATTACTGGAACGGAAATAACAAGTAAAATTCAGGTGGTCCTACTAATTCTTGTATTATTGGTTTCAGTCACAAGCAGGCTTTTCAGCCAGCTGCCGGCCTGTCTGCCTAGGCTGGCACAACATAGGCACTTATCACTCATGATTATAATTGATAAGGTGAATTTATACAAACCTGTCGACTTTTGACTAAAAACTTTCTGTTCTTACAAAATAACTATAAATAATCAACAAAAAATAGACTACAATCTTTAGCTACACACCAGCAACTATTACATTTTAGGAGAGATTTTGGACAGGCACTCATTCTCTGGCTATAATACTGATCACGTGGTATTTTTGTCTGAGTACATCATCATCTCCACCATTTTGTTTGAAAGATTTTATTTTTAGGTGGTGGTGCTTTAAGGTAGAGATGCAGTTTATTTGGCTTGCTTTTTAATTGAGTAATTAGACAATGAAGATGGTATTATATATCCAACATGTTATATATTTTCTGAAAGCTTATTATACAAACTTTGTAAAACTTGTCTTTATTTTAAATATCCAGAATGCGTTTTTGATTTTGGGTCAAAAATATGCTTTTTTGGACAAAAGTGGTTTAAAAAAAATTAGCTTAAAAACTTCAAGTCCATTTGTGGGTAAAATTACATCACTGGATACCTTGGTATACTACTAATTCAAATGCGTCCACTCATCTCTCTAACGACTTTCAAAGTCGCACAGCATGACCTCAAAGTTCACTCTTTTCTATTTTTGCATAATTTATATATCCATGTTAATTGCGGACTTGTTATTTTTGTTCCACTCGCCGTAATAAACTGTCCGGACGCATTTTGAAGGGGGAACACCTTGTCAATAATGTGTGAAAATTTCGAGGCAAA